GCTATTTAAAGAGTTGTATGTTGCGTCTCCACTGACTACACTGTAGAGCCGGAAATACTGTTAATATGTGGTTATATGCTGCTCAACGAACCGTACGATTTTGGTTTTTGACTTTTTTTTATTTCTTATAATAAGATATCAAGGAGGTTGTGCTTATTGACTCACCCTGTATATGTACATAAATGCGTTTTTACCAACTTTTGAATCAAGTTTAATTAGATAGATCAAGGATTAGAACACATAGTAAAAATCACAAGTTCCTATCTCCTCCAACGTTTATATAGAAGAATTCAAATATTTATTTTAGTTTTATTAGTGGCTGGAACGTGATAAGCTGTTGCTTTTACTTTTCGAGCACCCTACGAATGGCTAATTTCATGTTTACTGGATGTTCCATGACTCGTATGTTAGCAATATCGTGTAGTTATTAAAATTCCAACTAAATTTGTCTAATCATCCCTACCAACAATTTGCTGACGTCACGTCACCATTTTGCTAGTAATACTATTTAAATTTTATAAAATAACTTATTTCTATACTTGTGGTTTATGAATCTGCTTAGAAAAGTACCACCGAAATACGGTAGTAAAAAAGTAAATAATGGTCAATGTATGCATACGGAACAAGTAAAATTTCAAACATAAATTTTGGTAGTAATGTTCGGAGTAATTCCGTAACGTGTTAAATAGCTCCTGCAAAAATGTTTGTGTGATATTTCCCACGTATTTCATGCAACCGATACCTCGCGCACGTACAAGATAAGTAGGCCGTGACTAGATGACATAAGACGTTAAATTTGAGCTCTGCTCGCGTGAGTTCGAATCCCACCCCCGTCGTTTTTTTTTTTAAGACATTGAATTTGTTTGAATGTTTTACTTCAGGTGCGAAGGACGTTCTTTAAACACTTTTTGGTAAGATACTGCTTGGAATAGCCACTAGAAATAGAAGCCTTTATTAATTTAAAAAAATCTCTTTATCCAATGCTAGTTAATATTTTTTCCATGAAATATACACTTAAAAAACCCATAATTAACAAGTTGGTTTTTATCCCTTGGTAATTAATTATTGTTCATTTTTTTTACTTGGACCTTTAATTTGGAAGCCAAAAAAATAAAAGGAAATTTTTGGAATTTTTTTTTTGGAATCCTAACCAAATGACTTCATGGTAGTTGTAATTTGCACAACTGTTTACAGTGGTTTTGACAAAATGTTAATAATAAAAATAAATAATAAATAACCCAAAAACAAAACAAAAAAATCAAAGAAAGATACAGAGATAAATGCCAAAATTTGAAAAAGTGGAAGAGGTTTGTGTCAAATTTGGGTAAGCAAAAATTTTGCCTTAGAAGAGAAAATAGAGAAAAAAATGGAAAAATACAATAAAAAGACGGAGCGAAGAACAAACTATTACACGATTATGAAAACACTAGCTGAACCCGTGAACTTCGTTTCACCTACAATTTAATTTTGAATCTGCAAAATCGAATGCCTTGAAATCTTGCAGATGTTTTAAACATATGATAAGCATAATAAATTTTTATTCAAAATATATTTACTTATCCCCTCCAAAAAATTGATGACGTAAGCCCAAAATTTTGCCAAATGAATCCTATCTAAAATATCCAAAATAGGATGAGACTATACTTGTGAATTATCATTCCATTCATATTTTTTAGTTTTGTTTATAGGGGGTGTCTCAAAAAAATTAATCACTGAGTCAATTTATTTTATTGATTGAACCAAGAATTGCAAAACTGAATTTTGAAATATTGCAGAGGTTTTGAAGTTACTGTTTGACATGGTAGGTTTTCAATCAAAATATATCTGTTTATCAAGCCCAAAAACTTGAAGATTTTGCCGAATAAATCCTATCTAAAATGTGGAAAATATCATCAGTATATTTTCGTAATTTATCATTGCATTCATATTTTTTAGATTTGCTTTTACAGTGACTCAAAAAAATATATGGATCTGTCAATTTATTTTAGTGAATAACTCAAGAGTTGCAAAAATGAATACTTTGAGATCTTGCAGACGTTTTAAAGTTATTGTAAGCATGGTAAATTGTTAAGAATATTTATTTATTGCCCCAAAAAATTGATAGAATGGCTCACTCGATTTTCGCAGATAATTTTGGGAATACAATACAGTTATTTAGTATTATACTGCACCAATCCAAGGTGGTATACGTGTTGATCGTAAATGTTGATTAGGTCATCACAAAATTGTGTGAAGAAAAGACTCAACTCGAAAATGCTGAATATGTTTCATTATACTTTTGGTGCGAAGGAAGTTCTGTCGAAATGACGTTCGATCAATTTTTTGACAATGGTTGATATAAATAAAACTCAGTAGATGCTCATACTCGAAATACGAAGTATCTACTCGAATATCAAATCAAAATATTTCTAGTTTTTCTAGATGATGCTAATACTTCAGTAGGTAACAGTTGTTGCTCAAGTAGCATCTCGATACAACAAAAAAGGACAACAGTGACAGTGTTCAACCATCAAGGCAAAAATCGAGTCACCAAAATATAAGTTAGTATGGGGTAGACACCTTGAGATGGGAATCTCTATGGCTAGTGTTAGAAAAAACGCACTGCACAATTTATGCATAAATAAAAGTTAATTACCTGCAAAGTTTTCGATATTCCTGCTCCTAATGTGTTTTTCAAACTGAATGCACCTTTTGACGACGTTCCACGTTCATGAAAGTCGCCATGTTTAGTTAAAATTCACTCTTACAACGATCTACTCGTTTTCTAAGCTGCTTTACAGACAGCTCAGTTATTTGCCACGCCGATCCTCATTTTGAGATTAAATGCTCACAAAACGCGTAGATGTTCAATTTGTGTCCGGGGAGATACAATGTTTCCAAGCAGGTACTCAGTACATAGAGTACTTCGTACTTCGAATATGAGTATCTACTCAGTTTTATTCATACCACCCAATGTCTCGCTTCAATGTTTGATTATGTTGATTTTGAGCACAACGCTGATCAACTTCCATATCCGAATTACCCATGAAATAAATCATTGCGGTTTGCACCTGAGGTAGTTCGTCGCACATTTGATTGACTTCGTGGACCTATGTGAGGTGCTCGTCTTCTCGGCATTTTAATGAACTTCATAAAACGACACAGAATTATTTTCACAGTCAATCAAATCTGTAAATTTTGTCTTGAGAATTTTAAAATATTGAAAACTTCAAATTAAATCCTCGAATAACGGTAAAGTTTGAGGTTTTGCCGAAACCAACAAAGTGAATATAGGTAAATAGAATGCCAGATCAAAATTAATAAGAAACTTTCGCAATGTGTAATTAAATTCACTTTAACCAAGACTTTTCTTAAAATAAACGACGTTTTTTTTTAGGAATAAACAAAGAACGATTTGAAATGCAATATACTTTTCACAATTGCACGGAAGAATTAGTTTTGTATGACACGTCACGTGATATAAATACACGTCAGTTAGACGACAGGTTCGTCAGAAAAACCAACTATTAAAATTAATTCGAAGTGGCGATTCCCATACAAAATTTTTAGAATTTTTTTATTTTTTAACTGTTCTTTTAAGTTTTCCTTATTTTTTTTATTTATAAACCATCCCCGTAATATAAAAAATTCTTCAAGTCGGTCAAGCCGTTTTTGAGTCTTAGCGAGACTAACAGGAACAGGAATTGATTTTTATTATATAGACGATTAAAAAATGGGGGTTGGTGGTAGAAAGGTGAAAATTTAGGGTTATGTGTATTTTTTGATGCCAATTCTTAAAAAAATAAAAATAAAAAATGTTGTCCAAAAAATAGACAAAAATTTTTTAGGGTGGGCCACCCTTATCACTTAGGGGTTTAAAAAATAGTTCACAACCTATTCTCAGACCTACCGAATATACATAAAAATTTTTTTACAAATCGGTCAACCCATTTCGGAGAAGTTCGGTTACAAACACTGTGACGCGAGAATTTTATACATAATGCATTACTATTTTAGAACAAATTTCATTACCATAAAAAAGGTTATACTGACTCGACTTTAAAAGATAGACATATGCTGTCGCGGACTTTTCTTTAGAACTTTTAGAGGGGAACAATTTCGTCATACATGATTTTTACGTAACTTTAACCGTTTAAGCAGCGTAAGCAACGGAAGCTGTCAAAGGAGGAATAATTTTCCCGTTTTTCCGAATTTTTCATTGCTACTTCGCTCCTAATGATCGCAGCGTGATGTTATATAGCATATATGTAGATATGACACATAGACTATCCAACACAAAAAGATTTTGTGAATTTGAACCAGTAGTTTCTGAGATTAACGTGTTCAAATAAACAAAAGCTTCAGCTTTATTATATAAGTATAGATGAGGCAGCCAAATATGGGAGAAAAGAAATATATATACACAGCGAGTCCCAAAACTATCAAGAATGCGCTTTTGTAATAATTTAATGTTATAATATACTGAAAAATGACACAACCGTACATTTACTTACTGTACATACGGCGAGCATAGTTATAAAAAAATATACGTATTTAATGATACTTTTGAGTTGAATAAAAATTTTGGAAAAATTGTTAAATCGTAATCATGAAACTACGAAAAAAATCCAAATAACAACAGAGACCATTCATCCAACAACACCACCTTTGTATCGACCAACCTGACTCACATTTCTTGCTCAAACTCAATTAAGCACCTTGACGTCAGCCACCTAACTAATGTTTATACACCTCAACCCACATCAACAATGGTGTTAATAACAAAGTTCCAGTTTCGGCCAAACGCACTCTACCACGACAAATCACAAAGCCAAATTCTCCTTACTTGACCTCTCCTTGAAAATTCCGTTCACGCAAAAATTGATTACCAAGCACTCAGCTTACAATACATACAGTTAAAAAATTTAACACTTGTACTAATCATTACTGTAAACAGCGCCATAAAAAGAACGTCCACGAATGAAGACGTTAAGGTCGTCTCTGTGAATATCGAATCCTACCTCTTTCAGTCCGTCCAGCCGCCCCAAACTCCTCGCTTGCCTCAGCCCGGATTCCGCGCCTCTGCGACCTTTTTTCCTCCGCTCCAGCAGTCTGGGCTTTCTGGGCGTTACTGGTTCATTATCTTCGGGATCGGAGTGGACTTCGGGGCAGTGATAAGTATGTCTCCTCCGCGACGAAGGACTCGTGATTCGCGTGATTAAATTGTCGAACATCTTCCTTCTTAGAAGCGTCCAGGCATGTTGACCGAAACGGTTTACCGAAACGTTTAGCGATGGATTGGTGTTTGTTCACGGCACGTGGAGGGTTCGAGCCGATCCAAGCTGAGATGACCTGGAAGAAAGATTCTGGTTTAGACAAATGCATTAGTACATCATTAACATCATTTTTAATAAAATAAAAAAATAAAATTTTTGAGTTGAAATTCAGACAGATAAAATTAGCGATAGAAATAGCTAATATTTCATACAAAGTAGTAAAATTTTGTAAACAAGTGAAACAATGCGGTCGCATAATGGATATGTGTATCACCGTAAACGTCAATAATTTACTCGAAACGACTCTTGAGGGAAAACAGGTGGTTGTAGTTCCTTTGTGCGGATTTATAAACCTCTTAATTCCACACCGCAAGGCTTATACTTAAATCGTGTTAATATTTCCTAAGTTAATAGTTTTTTTATCCTAGAGATTATTATTATTATTATTCTTAACTGATGTCGTTTAATATGTGGGCTGTCCGTAATGCACCCATAACCGGTTATATGTTGAAAAAGGATAAAACTGTAACATAACTCGTTCGAATCATAGACAGTGGCGGAATATGGGCGTTAATGAGCTCAGAAAAACAAGCTCTACCAGAATTCTAAAAAATATATAGTGTCAAAACACCTTTATAGGATATCATGAAGCTTCTCACACTGTTACTGTCCGCAAAATATAATGTTTTAATTTTTCAAAGAAGCGTGATTTGTTGAGATTTACTTAACGGGTGAGGAAAGTCCTGTCGAAATAACCTTCGACCAATTTTTACCGCCCAAGAGTAAGCTAAAACAGTATTGTAATCGAATCCATCGGGCGACTGGTCACTTTAATGTTTTATCGGCGTTTCATGAGTCCTAGAATATGAAAAGATAAGTCTCCCGTTTCCGTCTGTGTTTGGCGTCTGCCGAATTTTTATTAGACAGAGAATTTCCGACCGATTGTTGTCAAATTTTCTACGTATGTTAGGAATATCCTGTAGATGGTAAAACGTTAGGAAAATTTGTCTGCTCATCCCCACCAACAATGAAATGATGTCATTTCCAAATTTTACAATAGTAAATGTTATTTAAAATTTATAAAATAACGTACTCCTTCATTTGTGGTTTATGAATCCGTGTTGAGTTTTTATTTTTGGCATCCAGATTTTTGTAAAAAAAATTAAAATTGTAGTTACAATTTTGGAATTTTCGATTTTTCGGCTTTTCGACATTCCAATTTTTCCATATTTCAGTTTGGGATTTGTCACTTTTTTTATTCTTCAATTTTTCGATTTATTCATTTTTCGATTTTTCAGTTTTCCAATGTGTCAGTTTTACGATCTTTCAATTATTCGACTCTTCAATTTTTCGATTTCCCAATCTCCCGATTTAAGAATTTTTTTATTTTCCCATTTCTCAACTTTTCAATGTATCGATTTTTTAGTTTTTTAATTCTCTAGTTTTTGGATTTTTAGGCTTTTCTATTTCCCGATTTTTTTGTTTTTCGATTTCTCAATTTTTCGATGTTTCAATTTCGGGATTTTTCAATTTTTCGATTCTTCAATTTCTCGATTCTTCAAATTGTCGCCTTCTCGATTTTTACATTTTTCGAATTTTCAATATTCCGATGTTTTACGATTTTTCAATGTTTCGACTTTTCAATTTTTCTATTTTTGACGTCTGAAAAGTTTCAATTTTACGATTCCTCGATTTCTTGATTTCTCAATTTATCGATTTTTTCATTTCTCGACTTTTCCATGTCCCGATTTTTGAATTTTTCGATTTTTTCGATTTCCGATTTTTCAAGTTTTCAATTTTTGAATTTTCCAATTTTTCGATTTCTCAATTTTTCGATGTTTCAAATTTAGAGTTGTCAATTTTTCTTCTATTATTCAATTTTTGGATGTTTCAATTTTGAAATTTTTCGACTTTTTTCCATTTTTCGATTTTTCCATATTTAACTTTTGCATTTTTCAACATTTCGATTCTTCAATTTTCGATGTTCCAATTTTTCAATTTTTTTATTTTTCAACTGTTCAATTTTTGACGTCTCAAAAGTTTCAATTTTTCGAATTCTCAATTTCTTGATTTATTTTCCCAATTTTCGATTTTTTCGACTTTTCGATGTTCAATTTCTCAATTTTTCGATTTTTTAATTTTCGATTTGTAGATTTTTCAATTTTTTGATTTCTCAATTTTTCGATATTTCAGTTATGGGATTTTCCAACATTTCGATTCTTTAATTTTGGATGTTTAAATTTTTTTAATTTTCGATTTTAAGATTTCACGATTTTTTAATTTTTCGACTCAAATTTTTTTATTTTAAAATTTTTCAACTTTTCAATTTTTGACGTCTCAAATGATTCGATTTTTCGATATCTCATTTCTCAATTTTTCGATTTTTTTAATTTTCGATTTTTTAATTTTTCAATTTTCTTCGATTTCTCAATTTTCCGATGTTTCAAGTTAGAAAGTTTTCGATTTTTGCATTTTTCGATATTTTTGGGATTTTCAAACATTTTGATTCTTTAATTCTCGATGTTTCAGTTTTTTTATTTTCGATTTTTAGATTTCTCAATATTTTAATTTTTCGATGTTTCAATTTTGGGATTTTTCAATTTTCCGATTTCCTGATTTTTCAACTATCGAGTTCTCCGGTTTTTCGATATTTGGAATTTTTCAGTTTTATATTCAATTTTTTGATTCTTCAAATTGTCGCCTTCTCGATTTTTTAATTTTTCGATTTTTTAATGTTTCGACTCTTCAATTGTTCAATTTTTGACGTCTGAAAAGTTTCAATTTTTCGATTTCTCAATTTCTTGATTTCTCATTTTCTCGATTTTTTATTTCTCGACTTTTCGATGTTCTGATTTTTCAAGTTTTCAATTTTTCGACTTTCCAATTCTTCGATTTTTCAGTTTTCCGATGCTTCAAGTTTGAGAGCTGTTAATTTTTCGATTCAACGATTTTTCTTCAATTATCCAATTTTTGCATTTATTAAATTTTAGATTTCTCGAGTTTTCTATTTTTGGATTTCTCAATTGGTCAATTTTTCTATCGATTGAATGATTTTTTGATTTTCCCATTTCTCCACTTTTCAATGTTTCGATTTTTAAATTTTAGATTTTCCAATTTTTCAAATTAATTTTTTTTATTACTCGATTTCTCGATTTTTTTGTATTTGAGTTTATCGGATTTTCAAATTTTAAATTTTCCAGTTTTTTGTTTCCATTTCTCTATAATTTTTTGGATTTCTCGATTTTTCTATTTTTCGATTTCTCAATTTTTCGATGTTTCAATTTTGAGATTTTCGGATTTTTCTTCCATTTTCCAATTTTTCCATATTTCAATTATGGGACTTTTCAATATTTCAATTCTTCAATTTTTAAATTCCTCGATTTTTTCATTTTTCGGTGTTTCAGTTTTAGGATTTTTCAATTTTTCGATTCTCCAATTTTTCTTCAATTTTTTCATTCCTCAATTTTTCTTCCATTTTTCGATTCTTGAATTTTCTTCCATTTTTCATTTTTTGACTTTTCGATTTCTGAATTTTTAATTTCTAGATTTTCCAATTTTTCTGCATTTTAATTTTTCAATTATTTTTTTTTAATTTCTCGATTTCTCGATTTTTAGTTCTTCGATTCTTCTATATTATAGTTTTTCGCATTTTCAACTTTAAAATTTTTCATATTTTTCGATTCTTCAATTTTGGGATATTTTAATTTTTCAACTTTCTAAATTTCAGATTTTTCGGTTCTTCCATAGAATTGCAAATGTTCAATTTTTTTGTTTCGATTTCTTGACATACGGTTTTCGATTTTTAAAAATTTTCCATTTCTTAATTTTTCAACATTTCAATTTTGGGATTTTTTCAAACTCCGCATTTTTCAATTTTTCGATTTTTCAATTTTTGACGTCTCAAAAGTATCAATTTTTCAATTCTTTGATCTACTCATTTTTCGATTTCTCGACTTTTCGATGTTCCGATTTTTAAATTTTTCCATTTTCTCATTTTTCTATTTTTCAATTTTTCGATTTCTCAATTTTCCTACGTTTCAAGTTTGAGGGTTTTCAATTTTTCGATTCCATGATTTTTCTTCGATTTTTCAATTTTTCGTAATCCCAATCCATCGATTAAATGATTTTGTGATTTTCCCATTTCATCACTTTTCAATGTCCAACTTTTTAGTTTTGTTATTCTCCAATTTTTAGGCTTTTCGATTTCTCAATTTTTCGATATTTCACTTTTGGGATTTTTCAATATTTCGATTCTACAATTTTTCGAGTTTTCGACTTTTCGATTTCCCGATTTTTTACTTTTTCCATTTTTCAATTTTTCGATTTTTAAATTTTAGATTTTCCAATTTTTCGATACTTTTAATTTTTCAAATTAATTTCTTTTAATTACCCGATTTCTCGATTTTTCGGTTTTCAGTTCTTCGATTTTTTTGTATTTGAGTTTATCGGATTTTCAAATTTCAAATTTTCAAGTTTTTTTGTTTCTTCATCTTTTTTCGCATTTTTCTGATTTTTCTATTTTTCGATTTCTCAATTTTTCGATGTTTCAATTTTGGGACTTTTCAACATTTCAATTCTTCAATTTTTAAATTCCTCGATTTTTTCATTTTTCGGTGTTTCAGTTTTAGGATTTTTCAATTTTTCGATTCTCTAATTTTTCTTCAATTTTTTGATTCCTCAATTTTTCTTCCATTTTTCGATTCTTGAATTTTTCTTCCATTTTTCAATTTTTCCATTTTTTGACTTTTCGATTTCTCCATCTTCAGGGTTCTGGATTTTCCAATTTTTCAATTATTTTTTTTTAATTTCCTGATTTGTCGATTTTTAGTTCCTCGATTCTTCTATATTTCAATTTTTCGCATTTTCCAATTTTAAATTTTTCATATTTTTCGATTCTTCAATTTTGGGATATTTTAATTTTTCAACTTTGTAACTTCAATTTTTCATTGTAACGTTTTTTTTGTTTCGATTTCTTGACATATCGATTTTTTAAAATTTTCAATTTTTTAATTTTGGGATTTTTTTCAATTTCTGTATTTTTCAATTTTTCTGGTAGTAGTTTTGAAATACATAGTT